TGTGCCAATTAACCACGCTTCTTACTACAAATGGCACCACTGACGCATTAGCTGGTCAGGGGAGCGCGCAAGCATGCCATAACATAAGCTCGCAACAATCAAGCATGCAACCACGTAGAATTGGGGACGGCTAAGGAAAACAACGCCATTGGAAACCAGACGAAGACGCCGCGAAAAATGCGGGCCCGACGCGGGCGCGGTACCCATTTCTAAACATGTCTTCTCGGACTATAGTAGCTCTGCGGTCAGCACGGCAGCAAGCGGCACAACCACGAAAATCAGTATTTGCGGCACGTGCAATACCAATATGACGACCGCGATGGGGATCAGCAGTATCACGCGAAGCAGCATCGACGCCACCGCATCGACGCCACCAGTAGCACCACTGCAACGAGCACGGCAGCAAGCAGCGGCACCAAGCGCAGCAGCACCAACGCCACAAGCAGCATCACTGCGACGAACACGACGGGAAGCAGCAGCGCCACACGAAGCAACCCCAGTGCCAGCAGCAGCAGCAGCAGCAGCAGCAGCAGCAGCAGCAGTGCGACCTGCACGACAGGAACCAGCAGCGATGCTCACAGTAGCACCCGCGCCACCGGAAACATCACTTTGAGCAGCACCGAGCGAGGCAGCACAAACGCTAAAGACAGGTCCACGAGCGCCAGGCGATTCGCGCAGAATTTCGCGAGAGTCCCACTTCCCCGCTGGCCAGACCGGCGGGGGAGGAGGCTTCCCCGCACTTCAGCGCAAAGCGTCACGACCCAGATCGTTCGATTTTGCGCTGGACACCAGGGGCGCCCCAGAGCAGAGATGTGCAGTCCGCCCGAGCGAAGCTTGGCTGGGAGCCGGTGCGAACCCGAACCGCGGGAGCAGCTTCTCCTCGGCCCAGGCCCGAACGGCGGTCGCTCCCAGCAGGAAGAGTTGTGCCATCCAGGGCCCGCCGTCACCGCCAACGAAAGAAAAGGAGGCGCTACATAATGCCGCTGTTTGGAAAGCGCCCCGAACCCGAGGTGAACAAAGAATTATCAACGCTTCGCGTACCTCCACCAGCTCTGGCCGCCCGCCGCTTCCGACTCGTTGCACGTGACTTTGGCAGTGCTGGTGACCCGCCTACCGCCCGCCCTCTCCACTCGACGGCCAGCCGCTGAGGTGCTGCGTGAGGCTCCGCCCCACCGCTTTAGGTGAATTCGTCTGTGCGCGCCCCGCTCTGACTGGCTGGCGCGCTCGCCTGCGGCCGCTGACAAAAAAGGTACCTCCACCAGCCGATTCGGAAACCCTGCCCATGAGAGTTGACGGGCAAAGGGACGAAGAGGCACATTGAAGGGGCCCCAGGACACAAAAATAATTATTCACTGCGTGGAGCTCCCCATATGTGCATCTACTCTCATGGACCTGTCCGCCGTGAATGTCTAGGCGCAAGAGCTTTCGAATATTAACGGGCTTCAGTTGTGACGGTCTGGACATCAATCTAACTGCGAATGAATTGGAGCGTGAATGAGCCTCAGTAGTACGAGCGCGTCTCTGTGCATGAGCCTGGGGCCTCCTGGGGCCTCCTGAAACCTACTGGGGCTTCCTGGGGTCTCCAGGAGCCTCTTGGGACCTCCTGGGACCTCCTAGGAAGGTTTCGTGCCCCAGGAGAGGCGCAATATATAGCAACAGACGTACATAAAACATTGCGGATTAGACCCACAGGAGAAGGGCAATCTATAGGAACACGCGTAAAACACCAAGGACTCGTGCCCCAGGAGAGGCCCAATACATAGGAGCATGAGTAAAACATTTAGGATTGTGTACACAGGAGAAGGACCATATATAGAAACATACGTAGAACATCAAAGAATCGTGCTCCAGGTGAGGCCCAATCGATAGGAGCATACGTAAAACACATGGGATTGGAGCCACTCCTGTTGCCTTCTGAGGCCTCCTGCTCCTGGGGCCTCTCGGGGCCTCCTGTTGCCTTCCGAGGCCTCCTGGCGCTTCCTGTTGCCTCCTGGGGCCTCCTGTGGTTTCCTGAGGCCTTCTGGAGCTTCCTGGGGCCTCCTGGAGCCTCTTGGGACATCCTGTGGCCTCTTGAGTCTTTCTGTGGCCTCCTGATGCCTCCTGGGACCTCATGTGGTCTCCTGGGGCCTCCTGGAGCCTGTTGGAGCCTCCTGTGGCATCCTGAGAAGAATCTGCGCCCACGAGCCTGGCCACCAAAACAAGCAAACCGATCGAGACATCCTCAAAATCTGGCCCACCTGGGGGGTGAAAATGAGCGCCTCGCTCGAGACATCCTCCAAATCTGCTCCGAAAGCGAAGGATGTTGGGCCCAGAAACAAGCAAACCGCCTGAGACATCCCCACAAAATGGCCGCGAACGAGCCCGTGCAACCACCCCTGGCGGCTCCCCTTAGGGGTGCTGAAATGAGCGCCTCGCTCGAGACATCCTCCAAATCTGCTCCGAAAGCGAAGGATGTTGGGCACAGAAACAGGCAAACCGCCTGAGACATCCCCACAAAATGGCCGCGAACGAGCCCGTGCAACCACCCCTGGCGGCTCCCCTTAGGGGTGCTGAAACCAGCGCCCCGCCTGAGACATCCTCACAATCTGCTCTCCAAGCGAAGGATGTTGGGCCCAGAAACAGGCAAACCGCCTGAGACATCCCCACAAAATGGCCGCGAACGAGCCCGTGCAACCACCCCGGGCGGCTCCCCTTAGGGGTGCTGAGTATGAGTAAGTCTGTGTATGAGTAAGTCTGTGTATGAGTAAGTCTGGGTATGAGTAGGTCTGTGTATGAGAAAATCTGTGTATGTGTACGTCTGGGTATGAGTAAGTCTGAGTATGACTAATACTGTGTATGAGTAAGTCTGGGTATGAGTGAGTCTGTGTATGAGTACGTCTGGGTGTGAGTAAGTCTGTGTATGAGTAAGTCTGTGTATGAGTATGTCTGAGTGTGAGTAAGTCTGAGTATGAGTAGGTCTGAGTATGAGTAAGTCTGAGTATGAGTAAGTCTGTGTATGAGCAAGTCTGAGTATGTCCGACAGGAGGGGAGGAGAAAAGAGGAGGAGGAAGGAGGAGGAGTAGGAGGCGTCCAAGTAATAACAAGAACCCCATCTTAGGATATGGGGAAATACACACAAACAAACATATTCCCCTATACTTTCCCATATTTTCTGGGTTTTTGTCTTCCCGCCCAATGCCCATATGTTCCCATATTTTCTGGGGGATCAACGACTCATTGTGTCTGTGTGTTTTTCTCTCCCTCCTGAATATAGTAAAACAGAGCGGGCCACCAGGATGAACAGAACGATCTCTGGGAACAAAGGAGTTGCCCTGGAGGGCCTCTTGGGGCCATCCCTGGAGCCCGCGTGGGGGCGAGAGAAGGAGGAGGAGGAGGAGGAGGAGGAGGAGGAGGAGGAGGGAAGACGACGACCACCACCACGACGACGAGGTCGAAAAGGAAAAGGAAAGGAAGATGACGAGGGCAAGGACGAGGACGAGGACGAGTAGGAGGAGTAGGAGAATAACGAGGACGAGGACAGAGCCCTCAACATCGCCTCTTGGAGCCCTCCTGAAACTCTGCGGAAGGATATTGGAATCCTCTAGGGGCTCTTGTGCGAGGTCTTGGGGCCCTCTTGGAATCCTCTTAGTGCTCTCGGGGGTCTGTTGGGAGCCCTTGTCGCCTGTCGGAAGCATCGTGGAGGGAGTCGGTGAAAACGCCCAGACGGACACAAACGGAGGACGCGCTACAAAACATAGCTTTTTGCAAAACAGGGTGATTCACGACGTAATAGAAACAACTGCAATGGAACAAATAGGAGACGCGGTCGAATACGCCGTCTGCCCAATGCATAACTCACCCAGTGCCTAACTCACCCGGTGCCCAACTCACCCCAGCCGTGACTAACTCACCCGGTGCCTAACTCACCTGGAGCCTAACTCACCCGGCGCCTAACGCCCCCCCGTACCTACCTAATTCACCCGGTATAACTCTAGCTCACCCGGCCTGACGACTCATCTGGTGCTCAACTCACCCAATGCCTAACTCACTGGGCGCCTAACTCACCCGGTTCCTAACTAACCTGGTGCCTAACTCACCTGGTGCCTAACACGCCCTATCCCAGCGCCTACGTCACCCCATGCCTACCTCACTCGCTGCTGAACGCACCCGGTGCTTAACTCACCCAGTACTTGATTCATCAAATGCCTAAATCACCCTGTGCTTCTTGTCTCATCCGTCCCTAACACCCGGTGCTTAACTCACCAGGCCTATCTCCCCTGGTGTCTACCTCACCCGCTGCTTAACTCACCCGGAGCTTAATTCACCCAGCTTCATTCACCCAGTGCTTAACAGACCCGGCTTAACTCACACGGTCTCGATTTAGGATGAACCACCCTGTTTCCGAGACGCATCGCATCGACACTAAAATCGTGAGATAAAACCGGAACGAAAAGAAGAAGCAGGAGAAGGAGAGGAACCAGCACGCAGAGTGAAAGAAGTACAGCAGCAATAACATTGACTGTAAGACAACATCTTGCCAGAAAGGCGTCTGTAAATACATTGTGTATGTGCCTCCCCGACGGTCCAACACACCATTTTCAATAATCAGGCCTCGCCCAAGGACAAGCTAATGGGAAGCTGGCCGCACAGCAGCAGTAGGCCCCAACGCGGCGTCGAACATGATATGAAAACACCCAGATTCTTATCACGCGGAGGGCGAAAGCCAAAGAAGGAGGGGAACAATACCGAACTTAGCAGGAGATGGCAATACGGTCATGGGCAATGCATGCTCATCGGCATGTTGGGCGTAATCATAGGATGCAGGGGGGGGGGGGGGGGGGGGAGAATCTCAGTCGAATTCGGAGCGTTGATTTCCTATTGTCCACGTTTGCCTTGAAGGAGGGGCTCAGGCCTCCCATCGTCCTCACGGCTGACGCTTGAACCGCGATCGGATTGCTCGAATCGAATATCTTCCCATCCTCCCACCCCACTCTTCTGCCAGGCTCAAGACAGGATGCCACTCAGCCCCAGCTCGCTGATGCAACCGAGAGCTCGTGGGGGCTGCGGCCGTGCGGGCCCTGGCTCCCGGACCAGAGAGCCACGGGGTGGCGGCAGCCCTCGGGGAGAGTGCTCGCGTCCGTGTGGTCGTCGTCTCCCAGGAGACCTGTGGGGGCCAAGAGTCCGTGAGACCCGGCCAGCGCGGAGCGGGAGCCTGGCACCCACAGGTCTCGATCGAGGAGGGGGAGGAGGAGGAGGAGGAGGAGGAGGAGGAGGAGGAGGAGGAGGAGGAGGAGGAGGAGGAGGAGGAGGAGGAGGTGGAGGAGGAGGAGGAGGACGATGGGGATCCTCTCTGTCGCAGGTCTAGATCTAGACCTGCGGGGGCCCTGGGCAGCGAGGCCGGGCCAGCTCGGGGAGGAAGCCTGCGCCCCGGCGGGGACGGGCCCCCGCGGATCCAGATGCGGACCTGTGGCGGGAGCCGCAGGTCAAGATCTGAACCTGCGGGCCACTCGAGGCGGGAGCCCGGACCCCACAGATCTAGATCTGGGCCGCCAGGGAGGCCCCCCCAAAGGTGTAGATCTAGAATCGCGGGTGGGGGGGGGGCCAGGGCGGGAACCTGAGTAATCCCCAGGCACATCCTCCCTGTTTGCGTGGCCCCAAAGCTGGTCATCTCCCAGGAGACCTCCGATCTCGAACCCTGTTCGCCCCAAGTGCTTCACGTAGAAGTTCAAGTAATCCATGCCATTGCTCGTGCGTCCATTGACGACTTTCACCTCGACCTTGCCAAGAGCAATCCAATTGGGAGTACTCGAAGCACGATGCAATACGTCAAAACGGTACCCTCCAGACTGCTTCGCCTCAGCCCAAAACCCAGTAATATTCAACTCTTGGAAATACATGTCCATGCATCCGCCTAAACGGCGCGCATCGGCCTTCACGCGAAGAAGCGGATGCTCACGGTCGCTCTTCGGGATATGTATCAGCGTGTGCACGCCTGGCTTCAAGAGATCGAAACGCTGACCATGCACGTTCTTCAAGTGGGGATCGCCAGTGGCGCCCACACCCGCGACCTCGTGGGTGAAACACATTTCCGTATCCACGTCCTCGCGGGCCGAGCCCCTTGGCGGCGACCCCGCGGATACGGGGCGTTTCTTTTACGGATGTGTCGCGCGGAACGTATCCGCGTAACCGCGTATCCGCGGGATCGCGCCCCCGAATTCAGGCTGCGCGGCCGAGGATACGGACATGTTAGCCCCGCGTGACGACCGCCGGAGTCGGCGCAGGAGTCGGAGCTGCAGACGGCGCCGCGGTAACGACCAGAGTGACGCTGGAGTCGGCGGGGTAGTGGTGCAGCAGGGCGCCGTCCAGCACGAGGGTGCCGACCGCCGCCGACGCCCACGTGGCGCGCGAGGCCCGGATCTCCACGATGACCCTCGTCTCGCGGTTGCCTCCGCCCTCGATCGCGATGGCATCGCCGACGTGGAGTCCTGCCGAAGCAAGGTGGCCGCAGAGTGAATTGGGACAGGATATCGGCCATATCGAATCGGCAGGAATCGGCAGGCAGATCGGAAGCATCGGAATCGGCGCCCGCAGGCTCAAGCCGAGGCTTACACGAGAAGTCCAAATCGGAATCGGAATCCAAAATCGAAACAATTCGAAAACGGAATCCTCGAAACCGAATCGATTCAAATCGGTAGAATCGAAATGGGTCCTGCCGTGGACGCCACAAGAACTTCTGTGACACCCCCCGCCACCTCGGACAACGTCTTGGTCACCACTGGGGCAGGCGTGGGGCTCGGCGTGGGGCTCGGCGTGGGGCTTGCGGTGGCGCTCGGCGTGGGGCTTGGCGTAGGGCTCAGAGTGAAGCCCGTGAACAGCGTGTCAGCGCTGATGATGTCCGCCGAGGTGTTGAAGTTGGCGAGGTTCGGGAAGACGGGGCCCAACCAACTGGCGCTGCGCCGCGACGACGACTGGCCGCCCATCCACTGCGCGATCGGTGTCATCATGCTCTCCCACGGGTACTGGGGGATCAGCCTTCCTCGCCCCAAGTCCTGAGCATTTCCACTCAGCAGAGACTCGGGGAAGCGGTTGAAAATGTGACCGCCATTGACGCTGCCGCCCAGCATGAAGTGATTTCCCGCCCAGCCGTGGTCGCTGCCCTGGCCGTTCGAGGACAACGTGCGCCCGAAGTCGGAGCTGGTCACTAGCACCACGGAATCAAAGATGTTCTGACCCTTCAGCTCGAGCACGAAGCTTTGCAGGGCATCGTTGAGCTCAGCGAACTTCTCCTCAAGGATCTCGTCCAGGGAGGAGTGTGTGTCGAATCCCCGCATCTCCACATAGAAGAAATCCCGCTCCGCCCCGCGCGCAGTCCTCGTCGAGATGAGCCGGGCGACCCCTCGCAGATTCTTGGACAGTGTGCTGCTGGCGCTGTAGGAGGTCGTGAGCGCCGCCGAGTCGATGATCGACCCCAGCCTCTCGCTGGACCGTACGGCTCCAGCGAATTCCCGCACGTACTCGTCAGCGTACACGTTGCCGTACTCGATGCTGGTGATGTTCCCCACGATTGACTGCAACTGCTCGTACCCGTCCAAGCGAACCGCGGCGCCCCCGCCGTCGATGATCTCTGTTCTGATGTTCTGGCCCAGCGCCCACGTCGACGTGCCCGCCAGCGAGAACGTGGTCGTGCTGAAGCCCTCGGCGGCCAGGGCGTCGGCCAGGCGACCGCCGAAGCCCTTGGGGGACGCGCCCTGCTTCTGGCACTGCAGCGTCATCGCGCCGTTCACCTGGTCGAGGTGCGAGAACAGCCCGGCGCACTTGCGCACGGTCTTGTACTGCGCCAGCGTGGTGGGCTGCACCAGGCCGCCGATGTTGCTCACGAAGGCCAGCTGGCCGTCCACGTACAGGTCGCGGACGAAGGGAAGGGCGTTGTGGATGCCGAAGGTGCCGCAGGCCTGAGTGTCCGCCGAGATCTCCAGAAGCCGGCCCTGGGACAGCGCGATGCTCCCTCGGACGGTGAGGTACTCCTGGTAGAGGTCGGCGCAGGTGGGCACCAGCAGGTTGAAGGTGTCCGCGCCCCCGTTGAGGTAGAGCAGGACCATGGCCTTGTAAGAGCCCGGCTGCGTGGGCGCCTCCTCGGGCGACTCGGCGCGCTCGCCCGCCGCTGCGGGGCTGCCCAGGGTGTGGAACTCGGGCGACATGAGGACGGTGCGCATGGCCGCCTTCAGGTGGTCGCCGTCCGCAGAGGCACCCAGAGCTGCGTCGAAAGCACGCGTGTCTCCGATGCGCCCGCCGGTCAGAAGCAGGGAGACCTCCGCAAAGGTCTCGTTGGCGGTGCTGCTGGTGAGGGACGTGGAGAGGGTAAGGCTCCCCTCGGGCTGATTGCAGGTGCGAGTGGTCTGGCCGAAGCCACTGCCGCAGCTGCTAAGTTCGCCCCGATCGACCACGGCCAGCATGCCATCGAGCCACTTGAGCGCAAACGGAGGCGTGAACAGCTCGAACTCGGGCGCAAACATGTCATCGGGGAGGCCTGCTGGCGAAAACTCCACGTTGTAGTAATTGAAGACGGACGGCGATTCGTAGGGCCACTGTCCAATCACTTCTTCAAGGTCATTTATCAGAACCTGGCGTCCTAGCAGATCTACGTAACCCATGGAGCGTAAGAAATGCATGATCTTGATCACGGGCTCGCGTAGCTTCCCCGATGAGTTGCTCGAAACAGACCCTCTGGCTTCCGGGTGTAGCAAAATAGCCGCGAATGTCGCACCGAGGTCTCCGTACTCGCCAGAGTATGTCTCGCCATTGTACACGCCAGTGCTGAAGGCCTGAGCCACGGCGGACACGTAGGCTGGCGTCGGATTGGACGTGACCATGCGCTGGATCAGCCGGAACGACACGAAAGGCGGCAAGTTGGGGTGGCGGAAGAGGTGGTCCAGCAAAGCCTCCACTTCAGCTAAGGCTTCCTCTGTTCGCACCGACTCGCCAGTAATCTCCGTGGCGAGCGCGAAGACAGGCGGATTGCGGAAGCTGTACCCGGCCACTTCAACGACACTCTCCGAGTTCCTGTAGTAGACCCCGTCGCACTCCAATACGGTGCTCCCTGCCAAACTCTCGCTCCCGCCATCGGTGTACGCCTTCACCTCTCCGTCGCAGGGCGCCAGGCAAGTGGCGGAGGCCGAGGGAGGAAGCGCGCCGATGCGCAGGCGGCCCACCTCGCCGAGGAGCTCCGACCTGCTCGGGACCGCAGCGAAAACGGCCCGCTCCTCCACGAAGATGGGGCAGTTGCACCCGGCGACGCTCTCGGTACACTGGCTGGGGCAGTTGCCGAGGGTAGGGAAGCCGTCGGCCCACGCCACGAAGATCGGGTTCTGCATCGTCTTCGCGTCGCGCTGGAATGCTACCGTGCCGTCTTCCCGGACCTCCACGTTGACGGTGCAGTGTTCTGGAGTCCACACCTGTGGAGTCCCCTGCTGGGTCCCCCAACGTGGCGTGCGCGGGGTCAGTGCGCCCCCCGTCCTCCCTCAGGGGCCCTCCCCTCCCTGTGAGCTCCCTGTCGGGCCGGCGGGCTCCTCCCGGAGGGACCCCCCGTGCGGGGCCCTGAGGGGACCCCTGCGGGGTCCGAGCGGGGCCCCTGTGGGGCCGCGGGGGGGTCCCTCCCTCCCAGGTCGAGTTTGTCTCAATACTGCAGACTGGCGCTCGCGATCATTCCCATTCGAACAGTCTGCTTCACAGCTCTGCAGCTTGCTTACAGCTCGAATTAAGAAGTAGAGAAAGCCAACACCGCGTATCTAAAATTTGAAGAGCGCAGATGATTGGTTGTCGCAGTTCCCTTGTGGGGTTCTTCTGGGGCCCCAAGGGGTCCTCCCTCCCTGCGGGGGCCCCAAGGCGTCCCTGTCGTGATCCCGTGGGGAGGGGGGGGCCCTGCGGGGTCCTCCCCGAGGGGTCCCTGTGTGGCCCCTGCGAGGTGCCCGTAGAGTTAAGTCGGGCCTGTCCCCTACAGGGGGATTGTCGACGAACCATAAAAAATGCACCCAAAATAATAACAACAAATCATCCTAAAATAGTTTGGGGACTATTTTTTGAATATTTTTTGACCCTTTTGGTGTCTTGTTGGGGTATTTTTCAATTTGTCGTCGAAAATCCCCCTGTAGGGGGACAGGCCCGACCTAACCGTAGAGCCTTCCCCGTGGGATGCCGTTTTCCTGGAGGCCACACCTGCATGCCGTCGTGGCCGCACTGGCTATCATCTGTCGCAGAGCTGCAAACGTGCAGGCCCAGGCTCTCGCATCTCGCGCTGGCAGTCTCGAAAGGGACCTTCTCCTGGTGGTACCCGCACGCCGTCTCCGACTGGAACAGTCCGTCCGAGCAGTTGTCCCCGGGGTAGCCGGCGCCGTGTTGCCAGCAAGTCAGCTGGCAGTACTTATTCGTGACCCAGTGGGACGCCGAATCACACCCACCGCTGATCTTTGACGGGATGGCGGTTGGCAGATCCTCGCAAGTTTGCCCGCGGTTGATTAGCCAAGGGTTGGGGTTGTCGGTGCAGCCCTTGCAGCAGGACACGCCGGCAGCCGGTACCTTGGGGTCCACGCACGCGCGATAGTTTTCGTTGGCGAATCTCGAGTTGAGGCCAGAGGCGCTGACCTGGCCGTTATAGAAGTAGAGGTGCACGCAAGTCGGCGGGATGTATTGGTAAGCCGCCGACCTCCTTTCCCGGTGGCCAGTTTTAAGTCGGGCGCGTCCCCCTACAGGGGGATGTTTGACGTTTTTTTTGTTTATATATATAAACAGCACACACAATAATCAAACTAATCCAATTATCCTGGCGAAGGACCCAACCATATGCAGTTGTGGGTACCGCAATCATGAAAATCTTCTCCGGTGAAACTCCCTATGCGGCCACGAAGCGCTGCACTGGGTGGGGGGAAACGCTGTTCTGGGTGAGTGATGTGTCAAGTAAGGTTTCTGGGACGCATGCGGACAGTCCCACTGGGGGCTTCGGTGGAGCTCCCTATGGGGCCACGAAGCGCTGTACTGGGTAAGTGAAAATGCCAAATTAAGCTTCCGGGACGCATGCGGACGGTCCCACTGGAGGCTTCGGTGGAGCTCCCTATGGGGCCACGAAGCGCTGTACTGGGTGAGTGAAAATACCACATTGGGCTTCCGGGACGCATGCGGGCGGTCCCACTGGGGGCTTCGGTGGAGCTCACTAAAGGGCCACGAAACGCTGTACTGGGTGGGTAAACATGCCACGTTGGGTTTTCGGGACGCATGCGGACGGTGGCACTGGGGCCTTCGGTGGAGTTCCCTACGGGGCCACGAAATTCTGGACTGGGTGGGTGAAAATGCCACAATCGGTGTTTCGGGACGCTTGCGGACGGTGGCACTGGGGCCTTCGGTGGAGCTCCCTATGGGGCCACGAAGCGCTGCACTGGGTGGGTGAAAATGCATCATTGGGTGTGCGGGACGCATGCGGACGGTGGCACTGAGGCCTTCGGTGGAGCTCCCTGTGGGGCCACGAAACGCTGTAATGGGTTGGTGAAAATGCCAAATCGGGTGTTTCAGGACGCACTCGGACGGTCCCGCTGGGGGCTTCGGTGGAGCTCTCTATGTGGCCACGAAGCGCTGTACTGAGTGGGGGGGGACGCATGTGGACGGTAGCACTGTGACCTTCGGTGGAGCCTCTTATGGGGCCACGTACTGAGTGGGGGGACGCATGTGGACGGTGGCACTGGGGCCTTCGGTGGAGCTCCCCATGGGGCCACGAAACGCTGTACTGAGTAGGGGGGACGCACGGTGTGGAGCGGTGCACATGTGGACGGTGGCACTGGGGCCTTCGGTGGAGCTCCCTATGGGGCAACGAAACGCTATACTGAGTGGGGGGGACACATGTGGACGGTGGCACTGGGGCCTTCGGTGGAGCTCCGTATTGGGCCACGAAACGCTGTACTGAGTGGCGGGGACGCATGTGGGCGGTGGCACTGGGGCTTTCGGTGGAGCTCCCTATGGGGCCACGAAACGCTGCACCGAGTGGGGGGGACGCATGTGGACGGTGGCAGCGGGTCCTTCGGTGGAGCTCCCTATGGGGCCACGAAACGCTGTACTGAGTGGGGGGGACGCATGCGGACGGTGGCACTGGGGCCTTCGGTGGAGCTCCCTATGGGGCCACGAAACGCTGTACTGAGTGGGGGGGACACATGTGGACGGTGGCACTGGGGCCTTCGGTGGAGCTCCCTATGGGGCCACGAAACGCTGTACTGAGTGGGGGTGACGCATGTGGACGGTGGCACACCCCAAGAGGCCCCCAAGACGCTCCTAGAGGGCTCTAAAAGCACCCCGAAGAGGACATCAAGGGGCAACAATCATTAACAGGCCTTTCGTGTTTGGCAAATGTTCGCATTCTCGCATTTTCGGGAATATGCAAAAACAATGTGGCCCAAGAGGGGCCCCAGACTGGCCCAAGAGGCCTCCCCAAAAAGAGCTCTGGGAAAACTCCTGAGAAAGATCCTCCAGGGAGCTCTCGGAGCCCTCCCCAAAAATTGCCCTCAAGGCCCCCAACGTGCCCCCAAGAGGCCACTGGGAAGGCCCCAGAGGGCCCCGAAATACTCCCAGAAGCTTTCGAAAAAGGCTCCCCAGAGGCCGCCCCCGAGGCCTTCAGGAGGCCCCGAAGAAGGCCCGCAACAAACCCCGAGAGGCGTCCTCAAGGCCTGGTCGTCGTCCTCCTCCTCGTACTCCTCCTTCTCCTCCACCTCCTCACCTTGTTCCTACGCTTCTGGGAGCCAGCGGAACGGCGCAAACCCCATGGATAGCCCTCCGCGACCTGGACCACACGGAGGCTGTGGACGTAGCACTCCTCGGCGAAGCAGCCGATGGTGCTGTTGAGCTCGACGTTGAGCTGGACCTGCGACTTCAAGGCGGCCGGAGAGTCTGAACTGGCTGGGACCCCAGAAGATCGGTCAGGAGGGGTGGACGAGGCCCAATCCGTTCAAAATCGGTCTTTGCACCCCTCCCGGGGTCCATCTGGGGTGGTTTTTCATACCGGGTCCGTTTCAAACGGCCCCCGGAGGCAGGCACAAAAACCAAAAACCTTCCGGCGCCCAGCACCTCCTCGTCCTCCTCGTCCTCCTCCTCCTCCTCCTCCTCCTCCTTCTCCTCCTCCTCCTCATCAGCAGCAGCAGCATCATCATCATCATCATCAGCATCATCAGCATCATCAGCATCATCATCATCATCATCATCATCATCATCATCATCATCATCATCATCATCATCATCATCATCATCATCATCATCATCATCATCATCATCATCATCGTCGTCGTCGTCATCATCATCATCATCATCATCATCATCATCATCATCATCATCATCAGCATCAGCATCAGCATCAGCATCATCATCATCAGCATCAGCATCAGCATCAGCGTCAGCATCAGCATCAGCATCAGCATCATCATCATCATCATCATCATCATCGAAGAACCTGCCCACCCCTCCACCTGCTCTGGCCGGAACCAGCGCTGCGCCACCTCAGGCCCCCAGACGGCTCCAGCCTGCGACAGCGCCGCGTACAGCGCCGA